CACACACACATACACCCTGTTTCTCCCATAGAAACCCTTTCTGCAGGGCTGAATCTGTTCATCACTCAGATACCCCTACTCCAAATACCAGCACCTATGTTTTGTTTCCATTCTTCATCCCACCACCTGCTCCATTTCTTTCTGATCCTGACTAGGACTTACTTATTTTCAAATGTAGATGCTTTCATTCTGTTTCCTGATTCCTAGCAAAGGGGTGCCAGGATTTCAGGACTTGCTTGGAAGAGTTCCTGTTTCACACACGTAAAACAGGCATTTCTCTACCTGTGATGACTTGTAGGGAGTGACCTCTAGCTCAGTCACAGAACATGTTTTTTATGTGGATTAGGTCCCACTTGCAATCCCCATCACCACCAGGCAAGACTGGGAATGAATCCTGCCTGAAGATGTAGAAAGTCACTGCTGGTCATTTTCAGCAGTATTAAGTTGGATGGACCAGTAGTCTGACTCAGTGTCAACCTAGAGGGTAAAGAGAATGTGTATTTTCTATTACTGTTTTCCATCCCACAAGGGGATTTTCTCAGAGAGAAGTGCCATAGCAATAAGACTTGCAAATTAATCCTATATTTACAATGGGCCTTTGGTATCCACTGGAGTTTGATTCCAGGATCCCCTATGGATACTAGAATCTGTGGATGTTCAAGTCCAGTTAAATATAGTGGCATAATAAAATGGTGTCCCTTATATAAAATGGCAAAATCAAGGTTTGCTTTCTAGAATTTACATATTTTTAATCTGTGGATGCTTGAATCCGTGGATAATAAATCCATGGATATGGAGGGCTGACTGTATCTCCCAGTGGCCAATCTCAAAACAAAGCGTGCTAAATCAAAGATAGAAAGGTGAGGAGGAACACATGCTGTGACAAACAGACTTCTTTCATCATTTAGGGAAGCACCTCCACGGGTGTCACAAGAGGGGGTGCAGACTAGGGTGAGGATATACACCCAGTGGGACTATACACCCAGTGGGACTAGTGCAGCTGCTGGGCGAGTGACAAAGGGTGTCACCTCCCTTTCTTGCTTGCTCTGCAGCCACATGAGACCTAGAACTAGCCATCTGGAGGCCGCAGCACCACTTCCCATCAGTGGTCTGACCTAGTGGTGGCCAGCCAGCTGGAGGACAGGCAGAGGGAGGCAGAGGGATGATGGGGGGGTGGGGTTCAGTCTGCCACCATCCCTTGGTGCAGCCCTATCCAGGGACCCGTACCAGGTCCCACTAACCCTATTGACGCCACTGAGCACATCTATTTTTTTAAAAAAATGTTAAACTCGCCAGTTTGACCTACAGTCTATACCAGCTTACTGTGTTCCCACAAATGTGTGAACTAAAGTGTCAAACTTAATTATATGCTTAGCACATTTCAGAAGGGATGCTCTACCAAATGGTGAAAGATGTATGTGATTTTGTTCATCTGTGTTTCTTGCTTGTATCACATCATTGTTCAGTCTTGCAGACATTCCCAAACAAAGATGTGCAAACCAGTATTTGCGAACTTTGTGCCGTCTGCTTCCCCCCTCAGTTAGGGCTGCTTTCATTGTGAGTTTCTGCATGGCAGAATGAGATTGGACTGGATGTCCCTTGGAGTCTCTTTCAGCTCTATGATTCTGTTATTCTATGACTCAGGAAATTCAGGTTTTGGGTGACTTTGGATCAGTAATTTTCTTTAAGCCTCATGTATTTCATTGAGGTGTCATGACTATAAAGCAGGGGTAAGGCAACCTTTCCCCTTTAAGGGCCGAGGGACTTCAGCTCCCAGAAGCCTCAGCCATGTTGGCCAATAGTCCCATGTTGGCCAATAGCTCCTGGGATTCTGGGAGCTGAAGTCCCTTGGCCCTTAAAGGGGAAAGGACATACATGTTTTCTTAGGTCACTGGAGGTAAGGCAGAATATACAAGTAGCTAATAAATATAAGCAATACTGATAGCTGAATGTGAAGGCTGGCTCTATTTAGAAGCAATATGTGTGAGACAATAAAGATGCTGCAGGTATGGTGTTAGATCTTTGGTCCAAGGCATTACTGGGTGCTGCTGTCATCAACTGATAAACCCATGCACATATAAAAGGGCCCTGATATGCTGTGAAGGTTTAGAAGCATTCTTTCCTTTTTTTTTTTTTTTTTTTGGCCACTTCATGTTGTTCAGTCTTTATATCTATAAGCCCTGTTGATCTGCATCTGGATCAGAGTCAGCAACTCACCCCCTTGCCATGGATCCCATTCCATTCTCCCTCAGCCACGTCAGGCTCATCTTGGAATAATATATTGGGGGATATTTCTCTCAGTTGCTTCCCCGAATCTGAGGAGGTAGATGGATTTCAGCCATAAATCACTATCTCTTGACCCCTCCTGCCCTTTCCCATTTGGTGTCTTTCCCAAGGAGGAACACACGGCATTGTTGTTATTATGTGATTTC